ATCCCTGGAGTTTCAGCTCCTGTAATCCCTCTGCTCCTGGAGAAAAGGCTGGAAAGGCCTTTTTTAAACATTTTTTTAAACTTTTTTTAAAGATTAAAAATTTTAAACAAGTCATGTTCATAGGAAGCAGGATGGGATTTGGGGATTTTCCCATTCATTCCTCCTTCAGGCTGATGGATTCTCAATGCCTGGATTTGATTTAAGCTCTGTGGGAGTCAGGATTGGGTTTTAAGGGAGCAAGGGCAGCTCCCTGGGAAGAAAAACGGATTTTCCAAGAGTTCCACTCATCTTGCACAGCACAAGGACACTCCAAAGAAACATTCGGGAGAGATTTGAGGACCTGAAATCCATAATTCACTGCAAGAGCTGTTGGTTCTTGCTCAGGGAAGATTTAAATGGAGCAAAATCCACAATAAAATGGGGAAGGGGATGAACAGACACAAGAGGTGTTGGGCAGGGCAATTAATTAGGGATAATAAAGGGGAGGGAATGACAGCACCCAATTTAAGGAGAAATTAATGGGAATCTGAATAATTCCTGCTGCTTTTCCTAGGAAAATGTGCTTTGCATCCCACAGCTCTGCTCGGGATGGGGAGGGGAGGGATTGTGCCTTAAATTTTTGGGGTTTAGAACAGAGGCATTGAAAATCCATCATTTATTTCAAAAGCTCTGGAATTTTTGCTTGGACCAATAAATATTTCCCAGCCTGAACCAGGACCTGTATCCAGGGAAATGCCTCTAAATTAGCCATGGAATTAGAATAATTAAGAAATATTTACTTACTGTTCTATCCCATCCCCCTTTTTTTTTTTATGCTGTGATTAATTAAACTCCCAGATTTCCTTGTAGTTTCTGAATAAATTACACATGGAAATTAATTTTTTCCAACAACTCATTAAAGCCCCCAAATGCTGCAGATCCCACTTGGATCAGTTATTCCTTACTTTGCATTGGAAATCTTTCCATGCACATCCCTCAGGCCCAGCTCCCACATGGAGCAAACCTCAGGCAAAGCCATTTTCAGTGAATTCCAGGGAATTTATAGCGGAAAAAGTTCTTTTTTGGGATATTGGGTTTTATTCATTAACCAGGTAGGACTGAAGGGGGAATTTCCCAGCACCAAAATGAAGAGCCCAGGATGCATCCAAAGCCATCTCCAGGTGTTTCCAAGGATAAATCCAGTATTTTTTCCAAGTGTTTCCGTGTGGTTTTATTTTAAAATAATTGAATCATTTAGAATTCTTGAAATGGTATCATTTGAAAGTAAATTGGTGGTTTTAAATTATTAAAATAATAATTAATAAGGATTTTATTCCAATGTACAAGTGCTTTTATCTGGTGCAGAAAATGGGGAATTCCCATTTTCATCCAGACCAGGAATCCGAGGCCTGGAAGTGGTGAGCTCTGGGAATGTTGGGATGGGGTTTCTGCTGCCTGGGCCCATCGTGTCCTATCAGGAAAGGTGAGGTTTGTATGGATCCACCACCCCTCAATCCCATGGAAAACTGGAGATGGGATCCCCATCTTATCACAGAGTCATGGAATGGTTTGGATGGAAGGAGCTAAAATCCCATCCCATTGCACCCCTGGCCTTGGGCACTTCCTGGGATCCAGGGGCAGCCCCAGCTTCTCTGGGAATCTGTGCCCACCCTCCCAGCCAGGAATTCCTTCCCAGTTTCCCATGTAAATCCCACCTCCACACACAGCTGAGGCTCCCTGGTCTGCAGTTCCCTGCGTTTTCCTTTCTTCCCCTTTTTGAGAGCAGGAATGATGTTTTCCCATCTTCATGGCTACTGGAAATCTGCATTTTAGGCTTCATTTTACAAGGAATTTGAGGTTCCTACAGATCCCCCAGCAGGAGCCACATCCAGGATTTCATTTTCTCTTGGATAAATCCATCTGAAAGCGACCCAGCGTGGGCGGGATGAGCCAGCTCCAGCTTAGTCCAAAATTTGACCGAGGCAGTTCAATCATTTCATCCTTAAATATCTGGGAATCTGTTCCTTGAAATTTGGGGAGTTTGTGGGAGCCCTCCAGGAGTGGGAAGCCCCAAGAGAGGCAGCCTGAGATTGATGAGAATCTCCAGCAGGTGTTTCCACACTAATGAGCTCCCCAGGGAGGGCAGATTGGAGCAGAGGGAGCCAGCCCGGATCTTCCTTCCCATTGGCATTCCGGGAGCGTGGAGCTGCAAATCCTGGAGCTGCTCTCCATGAATGATTCATTGTTTATAGGGCCAGTTTTATCGTGGGTTTAGTCAGGAAAGCAGGTTTTAGTGGCAGACCCCTCGCTAGGCCCAGTTTTAATCACAAGCCTTGAACAACTCAACTCTTGGGCTTGGTTTGGTGAGGGTGGGTGGCACAATGCCCCCAGCACGTCCTGATGGAGCATGAGGAGCTTAGGCCTGGCCTGAGGACACACAAGGACTGGCCTAAAACCAACCCTGCTGCTTTGACAGGGGACAGACGGGGCCTGGCTGGGGCTCAGGAGGAGCTGTGCCCTGGAGAACAGGGCTGGGATGTGACCGGGAGCTGGGAACGTTCAGGAGCATCATGGGCTGGCTGGAGCTCCCTGTTCCACATGGATCACCTTGCTCCAGAGGGACCATCCGGCTCCAGGGGGATCATCCTGCTCCAGAGGGATTGTCCTGCTCCAGGGGGATCATCCTGCTCCAGGGGGATTGTCCTGCTCCAGAGGGATCATCCTGTTCCAGAGGGATTGTCCTGCTCCAGAGGGATTGTCCTACTTCAGAAGGACCATCCTGCTCCAGAGGGACCATCCTGTTTCAAAGGGACCATCTGGTTCCAGAGGGATCATCCTGCTCCAAAGGGATCATCCAGCTCCAGAGGGATTGTCCTGTTCCAGAAGGATCACCTTGCTCCACAGGGATCTCCCTGCTCCAGAGGGACCTCCCTGCTCTGTCTGGATCACCCCACCCCACCCCTGACCAAGCACTGAGAGCCAAATCCCCACAGCTCCTGAAACACAACGAATCCTTGGTTAAATCCAGCAGATGGGAATTTCTGGAAAAATCTGGTTAAACCATCCCAGCCCTTCTGAAATTCCATGGATGGTTGGCTGGAGCATCCCATTCCAGATCACAGCAAATCCGTGGTCAAGTCCAGCAGATGGGAATTGATCCTCCAGAAAAATTCTGATGAAACCATCCTGGGCTGCTGCAATTCCATGGATGGAATGTGGGGGCTGGCTGGGTATTTAGTGCAGCTCCGAGATCTCCTCACAGTCTCAGATCCCACTGATCAGAGAGGAAAATGATCCCTTTAGCTTCATGGATTTCACTCCTGATTTAATTCCTGGGTTCCCAGGAGGGTTCTCAGGCAGCTCTGGGAATGCAAGAGCTCCTGGATTTTGGCTGCTTTAAAAGCCGTTGGTTGGGCAGGGAATGCTCATTATTCCAGATTATTATTCCAGTGCTAATTATTCTCATTATTCCAGTGGGAATTTGGTACAGGAACATGCCCAGATCCTGCTTTCCCAGCCAGAGCTCTGTGTGTCCTTCCCTCTCTCCTCTCCTGTTCCATCTGCCCAAGGCCATCCATCAAATCCTGGGATCCTGGGATCAGCTCCTGGGAGCACAGGGAAGGACAACGCCGGCTCCTGGGAAGGGCTGAGAGGGTTTTCCTGCAGGGAGAGGTGAGGAAGAGGGGCTGGAGCTCAGGAGACCAAATAATTCCATGGAAAACTGGAGTTTGGAGCACCAAGGGTTGTTGGTCTGAGCTTTCCAGAGTCTTTTGGTCTAAGAAAAATGGGAAATTATGACTATTTTGGATAATTATTTATTTTCCTTTCATTAGGAAAATTATTTATTTTCATTTCATTAGGCTCAGAGCACTGACACTTTACCACGTGCTTGAAATCCTTGGAATTACTCCTGGAAAATGGATTTTTGGCAATGTTAGGGAAAAAAACCCAAAAGAATTTGTTGATGTGCCTGAAGAGCATCATTAACCCCAGTGAAGCCACTGGGATGCAGAATTGGGATTGGAATTGTGAATGATAAAATTCCCATCGAGGAGGTGATGGAATGAGCTCTTTGGAGTTTGTGCTGGCACCTGGGTTTATAAATATAAATTATAAATTATAAATTATAAATTATAAATTATAAATTATAAATTATAAAATATAGAATATAGAATATAAAATATAAAATATAGAATATAAAATATAAAATATAAAATGTATAATATATAATATAAAATATAAGATACAAGATAAAACATATATAACATATAACAATATATAATATGTAATATGTAATATATCATATATGTAATATATGATATATGCTATCATATAATATATAGTACATAATGTATAATATAAAATATAAAAGAGTAGAAAATAGAATATATAATCGATAAAATAAAAGGTAGAAAATAGAGCATATAAAGTAAAATATGGAATATTGAATATAGAAATGAGAATATAGAATATACAACATAGAAAATAGAATATATAAATGAGAATATAGAATACAAAGTACAGAAAATAGAATATATAAATGAGAATATAGAATACAAAGTACAGAAAATAGAATATATAAATGAGAATATAGAATATACAACATAGGATATAGAAACGAGACTATGGGATTGCCGTGTTTCTGTGTGCTGCACACGCCCACCCCGCCATTCCCCTTTGGAGCCAGCGTCGCTCCCCGCTGGATTCCCTGGAAATCGCTCCTTGCAGGGATCAGAGCCTCCCGTAAATGCAAGTCTGGCTCATTCCCATGGCTGGGAATTCCAGCGGATCCATCCCTGCGCTGGAGCCGTGCCACAAGTTTCTCATCTCGCTGCCTGCGGGCTGGGAGCTCCCGATCTGCCTCTTCCCGGTTTTTCCCCTCTCTCTTTGAGGTTTTTCTGGTGCCCTCAGAGTGAGCTCAACTCCAAGGTTTGCAGCTTCCCCGTCTATTCCTGCTATTCCACGGGAGCCAGCGCCGGGAGGAGCCGCATTCCTGCCTCCTTTTCCTGGGAAACTTCACCATGCGGCTGGTAAGGGATTGAATTGCTGAACAAACCTCCCTCCGGTGCAGCTCCCCCGGGAATAACCCAGGGAAGGGATGCAGGGGGTGTGGGATGCCCGCCGGGACACGGATGGGACTCGCTGTGGGATGCGCAGGCAGAATTCCTTAAGGAATCTGGGATCCGGGGAGGCTGGAGCGGATTCCTGACGTGTGTAAGTTTATGAAGGGAAAGGAAGGCTCCGTGCTCGGGAAGCGGGGAATCATCTCCGGGTGATAACAATTCCAAACAGCGCTTGGAAAAGATGCCTGAGGATTCTCAGGGATTCTGAGCCGCTGTGGCAGAATTTCCCTGGATTTCACTCTGGTTTTTACCAAAACAGCCTTTTATTCTTTTGGCTGTGCAATTCCTGGGGGAAAACGTGGCTGTGCTTCCCGGGGGGAACAGCCCGAGGCTCTGAGCCTGGGAATTCCGCAGGGATTTCAGCTCCTGGAATTGCCGCTGGATCGATTTAGGGCTCCAAGAGTTCAGCTGTTTGTCAACATGGAAAAGCTCCCGGCGCTGCCGGCTCGGGGCTGGATCCCGGTGAAGTCATCCCGGGAATGCTGCGGGACCAATCCGGGCTCTGGCGGAGGGCTGGGATAATTCCTCGGGGCAGGATTGATCGGGGGTTTTGGCGTTCCTGCCGGAGCAGTTGTAGCAGGGCTGGCTGGATTGGGCATCCAGGATCCCTTCCCAGCACCTTGGAGCAGAGATTCCCTCTGGAGCAGATTCCATAGGGTGGTTCCTTCCATCCCAAACTCCATCCCCTCTGCACTGGGCACACACAGCCCACGAGGTTTTTCCAAACCTCATTCCCAGGCTACCCATGGGGATGTGATGGATGGGAGTGATATAAACACCAGAGGGTGGAAATAAAACAGGGAGAGATGGGAGGAAACACAGGGAATTGGGAATGTTCCTCAGGAATTCCAAGGGCAGGGAGGAGACCCTCGGGTGAGGATCCATCCTGCACATCCCATTCCTCATGGGAGGAGGAGGCTGAACACTTTGGGATTGATGGATCCTCCGCAGCTCTGAGTTCCAGAGTGGGTGGCTGAAAATCAGCAAATATTGAATTCTCATTTCTCCCAAGCTGGAATTAATCCAAGATTCTCTGTTTTCCAGGACAATTTGTCCAACACTGGAAACTCATTTGTTTAAGTGCACAGGGTAAAAAAAGGCTGCATTAGGAATATCTCCCTTACCTGGAGCTGAATTTATTTGGATTGCCTTTGCTGGTTCAAGTTTTTCAGCTTCCCAAAAGATTGGAGAAGCTCTAGAGGAGTCTTTTAATTAAAATAAATCCAGAAGAATTTCCCTGAGCTGTAGGTGCTGGGATTCACTTCATGTTCCCAATGCAGCCCTGTCAAACCTCTGGAATTGTGTCCAATACTTTTGTCCCCTGCTTTTCCTGAGAATTCCAAGGCACAGACAGAATTGGAGTCCTTTCCCTGCTTTAAATCTCTTAAAACTCAGATTTTCTGTCATGAGGCTCCTGCAGGTTCCTGCTCTGGCAGTTTGGGGGTTCCTGGAATCCCAATAAAACCAGGGAGACTCTTTATGTGCCCAAGGGCTAAAGCCTGGCTTTGTGTGCAGAAGCTTGTACAGACCTGAAATACAGTGAAGAGATCAAACACCAGGGAATGTTTGTAATTCCAGCAATTTCCCTGGATGCCAAAGAAAACACAGGAATCAATGACAAACTGCTTGGGATGAGCTCTCTGAGGGGGAAATTTTCCTGTTTCAGGGGGGCTTTTAGAGACCTGTGGCTCTCAGTGTCCTGATTCCAGCTGGGAAAACACAGCAAAGCCAATATTCCATATTTTCTACAGCTGGAAAACCTGAGAGCAGCATCCTGGATTCAGGTGGGCAGGAGAAGTGGGACACCTCCATGTGTCATCCCAGATTTCTGGGCTGGGACCTGAGTTCCAGCTCACTCCTCTACAACAGGTGGGATGAGTAACTACAGGGTGTAAATACAGAGAGGAAATGCAGAACGGAACTCCAGAGAGTAAAATCACCCAGAGAAAACACGGAAATGTCTCCTGAAACAAGGATCTTAATCCAGTGTTTTACTGGAGTTTGGGCTGCTCATCACGAGTTTTCAGCAGGATCTTGATGTGGGGACATTTCCATTTAGCCAGGTCAGAGCCTTTGAAGGGTTCAAGAGTGGTTTTGAGGAAAAAACAGAAAATATCCACGAGGAAAAGGAATTCTCAGCTCTTTCTCTGTGAGATCTGGAGACTGAACTGGGCAGATCCCTCATTTAAAGGGATGTCAAGGGAGTGGAAACAGAGCTGATTCCAGAGTGGAAACAGGAAAACTGTGGAAAAGTGGGAATTTGAGGACCAATGTGACACTGAACTGGGCCAGTGAACCCCCCTGGGTGATCCAGGCTGAACTGTTGGGAATAAAGAGCTGCCATCCCTCAGGAATGGGAGATGATTTCCCATTCTGTTGGATTCCAGAATATCCTTTCCCACCTTCAATAATTCCATTATTCCTGCTGAAAGAAGCTGGATCTGCTCTCCCAGCTGCAGGAATGCTGCCATTAGCTTTGTGTGTAAATCCAATTACATCCCCCAGTGTTTTTTGCATTTCCCTTGTTCATGATTAATTTATTTGCCCTCAATTTCACCAAAATTCAGCATTTTCTGTCAGGTTTCACTGAATCCTGGTGTCACCTGCAACTCTTTCCCCTTGCTGCTCCTCTGCTTTTCCCACATAAATAATTAAAGGGATTTTTGGGAGCTCTGGGAAGCTCTTTTCAAGCTGTGCAAGTTGAGCTCATTTAATTCCTGAAGGCTGCACATCCACATCCTGATATCCAGGCAGGGAATTCATTTACATGCCATGGATGGCTCAGCCACCCCTCAACTGCTGGCATTTCATCCCTGCTTTGGAATATTATTTACATTTATTAAAAAGCAGTTGGAGAATGTTCAACTTGGTGCCTTTTAAAACAATGTGGAGCGGCTGCTTTCAGAAAGACACGGACGAGGGTCTTTTATTAATTAATTTCCTGTTAATCCTTTAAATTCCTTCAATTATCAAGCATTTAAAGTGGTTTTTATGTGCTGATAATTGAATGAGAAGTGTGGAGCGTTCCGTTTTTCCAGGTGCCTGAACTTCAGGGTGATTTTAAATCATCTCCTGTCTTGTTTTCCCTGTCCAGAAAACATCCCAAGCTTTTATCCCGTCCCTTTCCTTCTCTCCCTGAGGAATCCGATGATTCCCAGCAGTGTCTGACGGGAATTTTCCATCGGAAAGCGACGTTGTTGTGGTGGCCATTGATTGGAATCCTGATGGAAAATGTCCACTCGCAAAGGGAGAGATGCCAAAGGAATCTGGGAATGCTGGTGGGGTTTAAGCTCAGCCTAAAAGCTCCTCTCAGGATTATTTTAGGTCAGCATTTCAGCAGCTGGTTTGTGTCAAACTCCTCATCCCAAAGTTCTCACAAAAACGGGATCTGCCTACACCTAAAAATAAGGACCCAAATTGGGTACAATTAAAATTAAACCCGTATTCAAACTGCAATATATCCCAGGCAAAACAAACTGAATTATCCATTTACAACTGATTTTAAAGTGATGGTGGCTTTGGGCAAAGCCATCTTCCATGGAAAAAGGGAAAGAGGGGGAATCTCTCCTTTAGTCCAGAGAACAGCAGGGAATGGAAGCCACTGGAGCAGGGAATTTCATGGATGTTGTACAAATGAAAAGCTCCTTTCTCCTCGGGTTCAGGATTTGAAGGAAGGATCCTGAGTGCTGTAATTAAAAGTGGAGCAGAGTCCTGAGGGTAATGGATGTGATTCCCACTGAAGAGCCTCTGGGGTTTTTCCCTGGCAGAAAGTTGATGGGAATTCACCATCAGGACAGAGCAAACACTTCCACAATGGGCTGGGGGGAAGGAATTGCACTGTGAATATTCCAAGGCAAATTTTAATTGAAAATATGGCCTTAATTGCATGGAATTTCATGGTCACTTCATGAGAGGATGGAGGAGTTCCCTGCCTGGGGATGAGGTGGCCTCAGACTTGTGGAGCCTGTCCCAGCCCCACAAACAACAGAATTAAGGAATTAAGGAATTTAACATCTGGCATTTGGGCTCAGGGAGCCCAAACCAGTGGCAAAATGAACGTTCCTCCAACAGGGAGAGGAGGCTGCGAACGCTGGGTGCAGGAATTAAAAGGGATTCATTGAGATGTAAGACACACAAAGGTTTGAAGCTGTTGGCTTGCTCGGGGTGCTAACAGATAAAAACAGAGCTTTTGGAGTTTATTGCTGTTCCCAGAATCCCAGATGGCTGCAGATTGTGGGGTTTGGGGTCTCTCCCAGGTGCCAAATGGACAAAGGAATGTTTGGTCTTGGCCAGGCTCAGGGCAGTGCACGAGCCCAGGGTGGGAATGGCCCCACGGTGCCACCAAAGTGATGGAAGCAAGGCAGGATCTGGGGAATGTCTGTTTTAATGGGGAATGTCAGTGTTTGAGTGGGGAATGTCTGTGTTTGAGTGGGGAATGTCTGTGTTTGAGTGGGATTATTTTAGGATTCAGGCTTCTGTTGCGGGGTTCTCTGGAAGAGGGATCCGTTTGCATTCCATGTTTGCCAGCACATTTCTGCTCTGAGTGCTTCCATCTCTCAGTGGCTCCTGGGTGTATTTTGGGACACAAACTTGTGTTTGGGATAAACTGGAGCCTCTGGAAGGTGAATGATTCATTTTTGGGAGGGGCTGCATCCCAAGTGACTGCGCACATTTGGGATCAATGTGTGTGCTGTGAATCCCAAAGTGGCGATTCCAGCCCTCTCCCAGCTTCTGGGGACTGGAAAGTCAGGAAAAAGAGATTCACTGACCATGGATTCATTTCAACCTTCTTGGAACACCCCCAAGGTTGTGTTTGTCCTGGGGGGAAAATCCAATTTCGTCACCAGGAGCTTTCCTTGACCTCACCCCAGAGCAGCCGCTGAGCTGCTGGAGTTCAGTGGAATGGT